CCCGAGTTTTCTGAAGAACCCGACTCATCGCTCCTTTTCCTAAGCAGTAATCATTTTGAATCGATAAAATTTGAAGGCACGGAAGGTTAAATCTATTAAATTGTTCTAACTTTTGTAGTTACATAGTTGAATTAATAAAGTCGGTATGCCTTTGATTTCATATATATATTAACAATCATTACAAGTGTCATATACTCTTATAGCATACATGTCTAAACAATAAGCATGATTTATTGTCAGACTGTCATGTCAACAACACACAATGTTTTTATTGAAATAATCAAGACTTAAAATTTTACATCTAAATATAATTAAAAAAATAGTATAATTTATTTACATTAACATACATCCAATCATATTTTAAACAAAATATTCCTCTAAAAATTCATTAATTAAATTAAAACATGAATAATCAAAACATTAACCTCCTAAAAAATGAATGAATATATTTTTTTAACAACTTTTATCTAAGGAGTGGGAAGAAGAATTTTTACTCTAAATATATATTGAACTCACAACCTAGAAGGGATGTGAGGTATCAACTAAATTTTTTTAACCAAATACTGTATAGGTTATTGATGGAAACTGAATAATTATTCAAATAGTTTATAAAAAAAATAAGCATGATAGATATTTTGATGATCCAACCCCAATAATATTTGAAGCGTCAAAGTATTATTGAAGCTTAGAATGAAGGCAATTCCCTCCATTAATGAACTAATGTAGTTGGCATATCCCAATATGTAAAACAATATAATATCTTATAAATTAACCAACCAAGAATATTACAAAAAGGAAAGAGATAAGATATGTTACTCCATTTGTATTCGTCATTTTTATCCAAGCATATATGTAACCACAAGTATTATAAATTATTCAAATTAAATTCCATAAAACATAAATAGAAAGGGGGATGAGTTGGGTTTGCATGGGATGAGCATATGGCAGGGTCCCAAGCTTCGGAAATTGCGAATTGAATGAAATTGTGGGCCATCCTCTACAACTTTCAATTGGATCATATCAAATATCAGGCTCCATTTGTTGGACCAATAACTTTTACAAAGAAAAACCCCCCTTTTTTCAGTGAGTTTAATCTTTAGAATTGGTATATTTAATTTTAATTCGAATCGAGATGAAACTGTTGGGTGGTATCAGTGGTAAAATAAAATATTGTCTTCCCTAGAAGATATGATTTTGAGCAGTTGTCAATGATTAATAAAGATTATGAGTATATATGATATTGTAATAATTTTTGCCTATTTTAAAAAAATCGAATCAAGATAACAATTTTTTTTATAATATCTTGAGATATTTAAATGAGATGAAGATGAAATTGCGATAGTAGAAGACATGGGAATAATGTAATATTTAGCGAAGGAGTAAGGGACATGTCTAATAGAGGGGAAGAAAGGATGCAGAGAAGAGGCATAGAATTGTATAATATATGATAGGAGTCCTTTTCCTTTGTCCCTACGCCACGATCTCCTCCTTCCCACCGAAGGAAAGATCGAAAGGAATCAACCATCCCGAAAGAAGGGTCATGGCCTGCCTCTTGTCCTGGTCCCCTTTCCTTTTTTTATGTACACAATTCCTCTAATTCTCATTGCCACCCATCACCCATTTCATTCATTAATTAATTCCCAACAATCATTGCATATATCACTAATTTTTTTTATTCATAATAAACTTTTAACCCTTCCAATTCCATCTTTGGAGTTTTGGAAACATAAGTTAATAAGCATATGTAAACTGCAAGTAAAATGGTATAATTTTAAAGACATTTAAAGTAAATAATGTCTAACAGGTTAAAAAGTATATATAAATTGCAAATAAAATGTATATTGTATCATCGACAATGACAAATTAAATTAAATTAAATATATTATACTCTTTTTATACTAATTCATCTTATTTTCAATAAAATAAATTCACTCTAAACATCTTCATATTCTCATTTATTCAAAACAAACAGATTGGTCTTTATCTAATAATAAAAGTATATACACATTTTTTGCACAAAAAATATCAGTCATGATCCGATTTTGACCCAACGAATGGACTGATGTTGTAAAGAGAAATGAAGGGAGAACTAAAAGTATCTTTCCCTATTATTTTCACCTACAAATTATACTACTATAATTAGGATCATAGTGTTTCTCAAACGTAATTATCTTTCTAGTTTCATCACCATGGAATGACATTTGACACAGAAGAGTATGTAAATGTAAAACGGGTGATTTGGTCATATCTTAAATCATTCGGGGACAGGTAGGAATTATGATGGGGAGAGACAACGAAGATGTTCAACCGATGCAATGTGCCTTAAACTGATAAAAATGTGTGGATGTCATCATTTTAATTATTAATATGATAAATGAAGGCTCATAATTTTCGTGAACTTGGCAAGTACAATCAGCAAATATCTTGTCATAAATGAAAACATGTATTTATTGATATGAATTCTCTCTTTTATCTGATTAATTGTTATAAACTGTCAAATCTTTATATTTAATATACATATTATATCATATATATATACAATTAATAAATTATGTGATGTTTTACGAGAAGGAGAACAAACATACTTATCAAATTTACATGCACACTGCAATCTGTTTATATGAATTTACCCAATAACTAAACATGGTATCTATGATGATACAAGATAAATGTGTTAATATAGCTTAAGACTACGTATTAGTATTTGCTCTTGTTATACAAAAAATATTATAAATTATATGTTTAGTATCTAAATTATTACTTTTATTATATTTTTGTACTCAATTTTTTTTTTCATACTATACTAAACGTTCAGTTTATGTTTCAATTTGGTACTCCGCCTTTCAAATATTAACAAAACCGCTGATGCATTTTTTTCTCAATGATGATGTGGTATTACCTTATGATGTGTCATCATCATTGTTAAGTTTTTAACGACGAATATCAAAATGAAATCTAAACTAAATGTTATGAGTGAATTTGAAGAAAAAAATTGAATACTAAAACGGAACAAAAACAACAATTCAAATACTAAACATGTAGTTTATCCAAAAAATTATGTGACATATATAGTTTTAAAAAATTAATTATATAATTGATGAATGTACACCAACTATAAATTTTTACATAATTTTGATAAAATCAAATTGGTTATTTTGTATGAACCATAAATTTTAATATTGTAGACACCCATTTTCTTAAAAGATAGGACTAGCAAGAGTTTCTCTCCTAGAAGGACTTTTTCACCACCATATCTTTTAAAGCAATAACCACACCAACAAACGTGCAACAATCGAGCAAGGAGTCTAGTTGCATTAGGATTCTATTGTTAATAAGATTCTAAAAATAGTTAGTTTTTTTCACTATAAATACATGTAATCCTCCCAATTTGTAACACACGATTTACATACAAAATACAGAGGAAAGCACGGAAAATATAAAATCAAAACTATTGTAAACGATTCGAAAAAGAAATAAAATGTAGCATCTTTTTTACTTTTGATTCAATCTCTTACATTTACGTTTTAATTATTATTATTTTATTTATTTAATTTTATTTATACGCACATTTCTCTTGTTATTCATTTTATTTATTTATTTATTTATTTATTTTTCTTTTTTTGCATGTAATATTTTTTACATTTTATGCATTTTCTTTTTTACTTTAGTATATATTTTTATTTTTTTAGATTATATATATATATATATTTTTTTTTATTATCAGTTTTATTAATTTATATATATATATATTTACTATTTATTTATTTATTATATATATATATATATATATTATTTTTACTTTTTTTTTTATTTTTTTTACTTTTTTATTATTTTATTTATTTTATTTATTTATATAAATATATTTTTTCTTTTTCTTTATTTTTTTATATTTATTTTACTTACTATTTTATCTTTTCTTTTCTTTTTTTATCTTATCTTTTATTTAATTTTTTTTCATTTTAATTTAATTTTTTTATTTATTTCTTACCTTTTTATCTAACATGGATTTTTGACTTTCTTAAAGTCACACCTTTAAAACTATCTAAGGTAAGTAATTGTGATCGTATTTTTACCTTTTAATTTTAAATTACAATTTTCTTAATTTAAGACAACCGACAAATTAATTGGTACCGAAAAGGCGGTTCAAGGGTGCTAATCATTCCTTGACCGTAACCGACTCCCGAACCGGACACATTTCTGGTAAAAACGCAGATCATGTAAGATGGTGTCCAACCCACCTAAATTCGTTTTAAAGTGGTCGATGACGACTCCCAACCCAATTATTTCAAGTCGAAGCCCAATTCGGACCCCAACCGAGGGCCCAACCGAAAGACGGTTACGAAAAAAATATATATATATATATATATAATTTATAGAGTTGATGGTTAAAAGTTTTACTCCATTAGATTATGTATTCATTACCTATTAGGAATAAAAATTTCACTTTCCTTGATTATAAATTGTTAAAAAAAATTAAATTAGAGTAGAATTTAATCATATTTAAACTCACTCTTGTCATTTACTCTTCTACGGATACCCATGTGAGAGACAAAACAGTGAGTGTTTTTATGAAGGGAATGATTATTTACAGAGCATTTTTCTTTCCGAATGATATATGTTCTGTTTGTTCGACAGCTTTCCATGTTTGGCATTCGGAGAAAAGACTGATTCACTGCCACTGCCACCATTTTGTTCTCCAAACGAAAGCTTAGGCTTCAGCTCACCTCAGCACTTATTTTTTTTAACTTATCTTTTTAGAATGGAGCCATTATAGTGTACCTACCGACGCCACGCCCCAAACAAAACGACGAACCACCTGCATGATGGCCTCGCCTCCGCCCCACACTCGTCCATTTCTCAGCCACCTTAACCCTAACCCACCCTTTCTGTTTTTCTCATAAAACACCAAAACAAAAAGAGAATTCAGCCGTACTACTCTCTAAGCTCTCTAGCTTTACACTACTAGAAAATAGAGAAGCTTCCTCTCTTGTTTTTGCATGTTTTTGTTTAGATTTTAAGAACAATGAGTGATCAGGGAGTTCCGGATTTTTACAGTTTTACTACTGCTCCTTTGTTGGTCAATGAGGATATTAATGATGTTAAGGATGATGATGTTTCACCTGAGGAACAAGATTCCTTGCAATGCCACTGTCAAGCTTTTCGACCATCGCTTTCAAAGGTAAGTAATTAGTTCGACAGTGATGCCATTGTTGCTTGTTTTTCTTCTTCTTCGTACTTGGTTTTGAAGAAAGGAGATAAACCCAATGCCCCAGAATGAAATAATATATTTTTTGTCTTTGTTTTTTTCTCTCAGGTGATTGAAGAGATCAAGCAGCTTTATGCCGTAGCTCTGCCAATGATCATTACCGGTCTTCTTCTCTATGGAAAATCAGCCATATCCATGTTTTTCATGGGAAAATTGGGCAAAGAAGCATTGGCAGGAGGTTCTATGTCGATTGGTATCGCTAACATCACTGGCTACTCTGTTATTTCTGGCCTTGCACTGGGGATGGAAGCCATTTCCTCTCAAGCCTGTGGAGCCAAACAATGGCCTCTTATGGGCCAAACCTTACAACGTACCATCGTTATTCTCATATTAGCCTGTTTGCCCATTTCAGTACTGTGGCTAAACATCGAGCCCATCCTTCTCTTTTGTGGTCAAAACCCAGATATCTCTTCTGTTGCATCTACTTATCTTGCACTTTCTCTCCCAGATCTGCTCTTCCAATGTATTATAAACCCTCTTAGGATTTATCTAAGGACCCAAAACGTAACTCTCCCTCTTATGCTCACTGCTGCCTTTGCACTCGCTTTACATGCTCCCATCAACTACATCCTTGTCTACCATCTTAGCTTTGGGATTCGAGGCATAGCTGTTGCTGTAGCCTTGACAGATTTGAACTTGCTCATAACACTTTTGTTTTATCTATGCTTCTCTCGCATCTGTGACAAAACATGGCAAGGCTGGTCACTCGAGTGTTTCGATGAATGGAAGCCGATACTTTCCTTAGCCATCCCCAGTTGCATGTCCGTGTGCTTGGAATGGTGGTGGTACGAGCTCATGATAGTCCTTTCGGGTCTTCTCACCAACGCCTCCGAGGCCGTCGCCACGATGGGAATCTTGATACAAGCCACCTCGCTCATCTACATCTTCCCTTCGTCTTTGAGCCTCGCGGTGTCGGCTAGGGTAGGTTACGAGTTGGGAGCCAATCAGCCTAGCAAAGCCAAAACCACGTCGATGGTTGCCTTGTCGTGTGCCGTGTTCAGTAGCTTCACGGCTATGTTATTCATGATAACGATGAGGAACGCATGGGGACGAATCTTCACCAACGACAAAGCCATTTTGTCGTTGACGGCAATGGTGATGCCAGTCGCGGGGCTCTGTGAGCTAGGGAACTACCCGCAAACAACCGGGTGTGGGGTGTTGCGAGGGAGCGCGAGACCAACTTTGGGTGCCAACATAAACTTGGGATCTTTCTATGGTGTTGGATTGCCAGTTGCACTTTTAATGGGCTTTGTTATAGATGTTGGTTTATTGGGACTTTGGTTCGGTTTACTAGCGGCCCAAGTTGTGTGTCCCATATACATGCTCGTAGTCGTGGCTCGAACGGATTGGCGGGTCCAAGCAACAAGAGCTGGACAGCTCGCTGGTATTAATGGAGATGAAGCTGAGGAAGAGAATAAAATCCAGGTATTAATATCAGTAATGGTTGGGAATTAGCTTGAGTTTTATGTAGTGTTCAACTACTTTAAATGGTTAGTGCTTTTAGTTAATGTTTTCCTTTTTGGAATTCAATTTGTTAAAAACTTTGTATATTTTGTGTTTGTGAGATATTGTTTTGTAAATAGGCTTTACATTTTGGTTCTGCCTTTTCTTCTTCTTTGAATATGAACAGTGAAAGCAAAAAATGTGTAATGCAGGTGACTAGGACTGTAACAGTTGAGTTTGGTTTTGAAAGAAAAAAATGTGTGGTTAATGTATAATATGGTATTTTAAAAATTAGATTGAATAATTATTGAATTTTAATTTAGTTGATATTATTACTATTGTAGTAATATTTTAATGCCCGTGACTAGGACAGTAACAGTTCAGTTTGGTTTGGTTGTGAAAAAAAAGTGTTGTTAATGTATAATAATATGATGTTTTAAAAATTAGATTGAATAGTTATTTTAGTTGATATTATTACTGTAGTATCGTAAAGATGAACTCAAACACAAGAGTACAATATAGTTATCCAAAAAGATACGTCATTCTAGATCAAATAGTAACGTTGAACATAAATTGTGTTGTTGGTTGCATTAGTTATTCTTAAACTATTTGATGACGGCATAAAATAATTGTAAAGCTCTTAACGTGTTAGGATGTCAGGTTTTAAGTTCCTATTATAATATCATAGACCATGATTCGAATTTCGTTTGTTCTAACTTTAAAAACTCATAATGCTAGTAGTTCGTATTATGTAACGAGGCTTAATTTTAGGCTTCCTTTTCTGGAATTTCCTCTAGTTTCAATCCAGATTGTGTGTAATAATATGTGTTTAGCTTTTATTTTTGCAATATGAATGGATAATTCTACATAATTTCCTTCCATTCTATTTATATTTTAGGGTAAACTACATGGTGACCACTCAATTATAGTCAAAGATCATTTTGAGCATCGATATTTTAATTTGATCAATCATACCATTAAACTATTTAAATGCTTCAATCAAGCCACATGCTGTTAACATTTAACGGAGTAGGTGACGTGGCCGTTAAAATATTTTGGTATAATTACACAATTAGTCCCAATAACTTAATAAATTAAAATAAATTTAATCATCGAATCAGGAGATGTCACGTGTCATTAGTGACACCTATCATGACATGTGTCGTTATTCGATTAGATGACTATTTTTTTTAATTTAATAAAATTATTTTCCACCAATTAGAGGGTGACACGTGTCACGGGTGAGAGGAATCAAACCCAAGATGCTTGGTTGGAATAATAGAAACAAAACCATTGAGCTAAGACAACCATTTGATATGCTTTGGACAACAAATAATATATCTATTATATCTTAGGGGCTGTTTGTTTACTTCAGAATGATTAAGCGCTGAATGATTCAAATGCTGAATGATTCAGAGGCTCTGAATGGTTTGGCTCTGAATGTGACATGTTGTTTGATAACTGGCTCTGAATGATTCAGAATGTACTTATGTGATGAATCATTTAGCACTGTTTTGCTGAATCAGTCAGCACTGAATCGTTCAGAGGTGCGAAACAAACGCGCTGAATGCTGAACTGGACTTCTTTCCCCTGGCGGAGGTTGAAGGCTCTTTCGTTGTAAACCTCCCGCGTCACGTGTTTGAAGAAGGGATTCATGATTGGAAGTATGCTTTGGTCGGGCAGTTTGTTGGAGCTACTCTAAATTTCAGTTACTTGCAGAAGATTGTCGAGCTGATGTGGGGTAAAGCTTCTCATGTTAAGGTTAGCTTGGTTGAACTAAACTTGTTTGTGTTTTCATTCATTAATTCTTCTGCCAGGGACTGGGTTTTAGAAAATGGTCCCTGGCACGTTCAACATAAGCCATTATTCCTTAGGAAATGGAAGCCAAATTTGAAAGAACTACATTTCGATTTAGTTAGAATGCCTATCTGGATCCAGTTGTTCAATATCCCTTTGGAGTTGTTTTAAAAAATGGGGTTAAGCTACATTACAAGTGCAATTGGCAAACCTTTGCTTATGGATTCGATCACGGCATCAAGAGAGAGACTAGTATTTGCCTGAGTCTGTGTTGAAATCCCAACTGGATCCAAAATTCCTGATCACATTGATGTTCTGCTTTGCGATAACACAGTGGCTAGAATTAATGTCAAAGTTCATTGGATGCCTCTCTCTTGTGGTGATTGTGGTCGTTTTGGTCATTCGGGTAAATTCTGTCCTCAGGGGGTTAAAGTTGTTCAAGCTTGGAGAGTAAAGGAGTATGCTAAGTCTGATGGCCCCATTAATAGTATTGAGGTGGAAATAGTGGATGGTTTAGATACTGGAAATAGTATTATGACTGGTAATTCTGTTAATCAGCCTCATGATGTTACACCTACTGTAATGGATGGGTTGGATATTGGTAATGGTAAGGAGGTTTGCATTTCTGACAATCAATCTGGTGCTACTCTCTCTACTATAGTGGGAGGGTCTTGTAGTGTGGCTGAAAATGATAGCATTGGTAAGGAGAAAGCCTTGGATATCTTACAGCCTACTCAAGCAACCGTTACAGTAGCTACTAGCCAGGGTAGCAACCCTCAGCTGAAAAGGGGCAAAGGTCGACCTGATAAGGAGAGGGGTAAAGTTTCATTGGGTGGGTCAAGGAATAAATTTGAGGTTTTCAATTCCATTGACCCTGAAAACTTGCTGGTGGATTCTGGAAGGAAGCAGAGAATTACCTCCCTGGGTGTTGAGAAAATTGTTCAAGACTTGAAACTTAAGAAAAAGAAATATGTTGGTAAAGTTAAAAAATTGGAAGAAAGTTTTGCGTTTTGCTTCTGGAACATAAGGGGCTTTAATAACCCCCTTAAGCAAAGCAAAGTTTTGCGTTGGGCTGCTAGTTGTCAGATTGGTGTCTTGTGCCTTTTAGAGACAAGAGTAAAAGAGGATAAAGCTGGAATTATTCTGAAGTAGAGTTTTGGTGATTGGGACTCATGTTGCAATTATAATCATGCCGTTAATAGCCGTATTTGGGTCCTTTGGTTGAAAAGTTTGAGTTGTACTGTCTGCTCAGTTTTTGATCAATGTGTATCAATTAGAGCTGATTTTGGGGGTAAGGTTCTTTATATTTCTGCTATATATGGTTCGAATAATGGTGCTCTTTGAAGACAACTATGGAATCAGCTTAGGCTAATGGAGAATACTGTGGGCAGTGATCCCTGGTTGTTTGGAGGCAATTTTAATGTCATTCTCAACCCTAAGGAAAGTTCAACCCCTGTCAATGCTAGCTTGATGACTGGCATTTTTGAGTTCCAGCATTGTGTTGAGGAGATGGGACTTTCTGACCATTCTTTCATAGGCCCCTTGTTCACGTGGTCTAACAAACATCAGGACAACTTCCTGGCTCGCAAGCTTGATCGATTTCTCACTAACTCTGGCTGGTTTGGATCCTTTGTAGACTCAGAGGTTGAATTCCTGGCTCCAGGTGACTCTGATCACTGCCCTGCCTTTGTCTGGCTACATAAACTTGTCCCTGCTGTTAGGCCAAAACAGTTCAAGTTTTTCAATTTTTGGGCCTTGCACCCTAGGTTTTTGCAAATCGTGGAGGAGTCTTGGCAGGACCCAACAGAAGGTAATCTAGCTCAAGCTTTGTTCTTAAAGCTTAAGGGATTGAAATGTTGTCTTAAAGACTTTAATAAAATATATTTCAATGATATTTCGAGCCGGGTAAAGCAAAAACATGAGGAGCTGTCAAAAATCCAGTTAGCAAACTTGGATTTTGGTACTGTTGGTAACTGTGCTAATATGGAATGTGAAGTTGAAAGAGAGCTAAAAATTCTTGAGGAAACAAAACTGCTTTTCTATAAGCAGAAGGCAAAATCTAACTGGATTAAGGAAGGGGATCAGGGCAGTCATTTCTTTCATTCCATGGTTGCCAGCAAGAGGAAGAGCTATACCATCAGAGTGCTCTTTGATCAGAATGACAGAAGACTGGACTCTTTTGAAGACATGTCTAGCGAGGTCATCGTCTTCTTTAAAAACCAGCTTGGGATGATTGACCCTAATATCAAGGGCTGCAATGTTAGCACCATGAGAGACCTACTTGGGTATTTTTACCTATGGGTACTGCTAACTCCTTGTGTAGAGCAGTTTCTGATGAGGAGATTAAGAAGGCTATATGGGGTCAAGGGAATAACAAATCCCCAGGACCAGATGGATATAATCCTTATTTTTCAAGAAAACTTGGTCAATTGTTCGTTAGGATTTCAAGGCTGCCATCATAATACTGTTTTGAAGCTTCTCTTATTCTGCCATCTTTTAATGCAACTGCTATTGTCCTTGTACCTAAGATTCCTAATCCAAGCACTATCAAGGACTTCAGGCCCATCTCATGTTGTTCTGTGATCTATAAAACAGTTACCAGAATTCTAGTTAATAGAATGTATGTTGTTTTTCCTGGAATGATAACTAAATATCCTATTGCATTTGTCAAAGTGTCAAGCATAGTTGATAATACACTTCTTGCTCAGGAGATAATTAGGGGGTATGCTAGGAAGAATAATTCCCCGAGGTGTGCACTAAAAATCGACCTTCAAAAGGCCTTCGATTCACTTAACTGGAGTTTGTTAGTGTCATTCTCCATTCACTGGGGTTACCTGATAAATTCATAGTCTAGATCTGTGCTTGTTTCACCAATCCTTACTTTCTATTGTGCTTAATGGGAGCCTTGTTGGTTACTTTAAGGGTGCTAGAAGGGTTAGGCAAGGGGACTACCTCTCACCCTATCTTTTTATCCTAGCTATGAGTTTATTATCCAAACTACTGAATACAGCTGCTTTGAAGGGGATTTTTCACTTTCATCCTAAGTGCGGAAGATAAATCTAACTCATCTTTGTTTTACTGACGATCTCCTCATATTTTGTTAGGGTACTATTGACTCTGTAATGGGTGTGCAGTCTGTCTTAGATACCTTTTACTTGCTATCGAGGTTGAAGCTTAATGCTAGCAAGTGTGAAATGTTTACTGCTAGTGTGCCTGCTGATCTGTGGGCTCTCATTCGAGAGGTTATAGGCTTTAAATTAGGTGTTCTCCCGGTGAGACACCTTGGAGTCCCTTTGGTGACAATGAAGATTTCGATCAAGGACTTTCAATGCTTGATCGATAAGATTAGAGCCAAATTAAACTCGTGGGCAAATAGACACCTAAGCTTTGCTGGCAGGTTGCAGCTGATACATTCTATCCTGATTAGTATGGCCAACTTCTGGTGCAGGCAGATGATCCTCCCCCAATCTATAATTAAGAGAGTTGAGTAGCTTTGCTCCTGTTTCTTCTGGAGAGGGGCTGACTTGTCTGCAAATGATGCTCGGGTTAGTTGGAGACAAATTTGTCTGATGAAGTCTGAAGGGGGACTGGGCATTCTTGATCTAGGGGGCTAGAATAAAGCTTGTATGGTGCTCATTATCAAAAAGCTACTAGCTAATGAAGGCTCCCTGTGGATGGCTTGGATCCATGCGTATGTGATTAAAAATCTGGACTTTTGGCAGATGAGTATCCCCCAAAATACCAACTGGTACTTCAGAATAATTCTCAAACTGAGGCCCGATATCTCTAATTTATTTGCTGATCCTGGTTGCAACCTTATATGGGATGACTTATGCATACAGGGGCTACAGTTACTTGGCACAAGTTGGTCTGGTTCCCATGTCGTATCCCTAAGTATAACACCATTTTGTGGATGGCTGCTCTTTATAGGCTTCCCACTCGATCGAGGTTTATGCGAATGGGCCTGAGTATAGATAATATCAACTGCTTATTATGTGGCACTGAGCCTAAGACTCGCAACCATCTGTTTTTTGGATGCAGTTTTGCTAGGGATATGTGGGGGAATGTTCTGTCTTTGTGTGGGATTAATCGATGTGTGAGTGCTTGGGACAAAGAGCTGGCCTCAGCTTCTCAACTTTTCAAGGGTAAAACTCTCATTGTGCAACTGCTGAAGCTGGCACTTGCTGGCCATGTGTACAACATCTGGAGGGAGAGAAATAGCAGACTATTTGGGGGTAGAGCCAGACCGGTGGGTGATGTGCTGAAGGATATGATTCCATTCGTTTTCGACTTAGTGAATGGTCTATTAGCAGAGTCGACCAAAGGAACGTTTCCCTGTGTGCTAACTGGGGTATTTGAGCTAGCTGCTGTTTTAACCTTGCTTCCCTGTTGATTTTAGTTGTGTTATTTGTTGTTTATGTGACACTCAGTTTCTTGTAGCAGGTTTTCCTGCTTTCTTGGGTAATGAAATGAAATTATCTAAAAAAAAGATAAAATAAATATTTTAAATAAAAATAAAAATAAAATATATTTAATAAGTTAAAACAAAAACAAAAGATAATTTTAAAATTTAAGATATATAAAATATTCTTAACTTTGAGTAAAACATTTATATACTAAGATACACTATATATATAATTTGTTGTTCAAAATAAATTAATTGGTTGTCTTGGTTAAATGGTATGTCTCTTATTCCTTTAACCAAGTGTCTTGGATTTGATTCACCTAGCCCACTTAATTGAGTTGATTTATTTTCTTTCAACCAGAGGGTGTGTCACCCTCTGATTGGTGGAAAATAAATATATTAAATTAAAATAAATTTAGTCATCTAATAATAGGACCAAATTGAAAGGACATATAAGTTTCAGGGACCAATTTTGTAATTATAGCAAAATATTTTAACGGCATGTGGTTTGATTGACGCATTTAAATAGTTCAATGATCTGATTGATCAAATTAAAACATCGGTGTTCAAAATGATTTTTGACCATAATTGAATGGTCCCTGTGTAGTTTACCCTATATTTTATACAATGTGATATTTGAAAGAATTATATCTACTCTACAAAATACAAATTTCTGATTTATAAAAAGTGAAATCAAAGCCAACCCAATTTAAGCAAATAAAATTATACCATGTATCGGTTCGATTTAACCCACCATCCATCCTCCTACGGCCAAAAAGTAAAGTTTGCTTACACAAGTGGATCAAATTAATCCCACCAACAAAGGGATCACTAATTGATTCAAAGTGCATGGTTGATATATGCAGAAAAGGCTATAAACATCAAACCACAAGACTGGAAAGGAAAGGAAAGCAAAGCAAATTCTTGAGATACAATTTGTTACTATAATTGATTGATGAAGTAACAATAATAGTAAACAACTTGTTCAACGAGTTGCAAACAAGACATTAATAAACTTACAGAAATCATTACGTATGAATAGAAACAATGAAATCTATTTTAAAAGTCAATAAAATTGGGAGGACTGGCGTTGGTGGTACACCTACAATAAATAAAGTTTTTTAAAAAAATATATATATTTATATCATATGTCACTTTTTAATGGTTCCGTCACACAATATTTCCTATAGTAAATTAAGATTAAAATAATAATTTATATGAATATTTCATAAATTGGCTCTAGCGTCGCTTGCTCTAAAAAATTCATAGCCTCGTTGGTTCCTTCTCTTCCATCTTTGGTTGAAAATAGTAACACTGATTTTATTGTTGGAAGTCGACCGTTGATATTTTTTATTTTTAATTTACTTCTTTATCTCGAATCTTTATTTATTATTTATTTTTATTAACTCTGCATTTATGACATGTTTTCATTTACATTTTAACATGTTTTCGACATTTTTATTGGGCATTTGATCATTTATTTTTGTTTATTTTTTCATGGATGGATTTGACGTCCTCGTGATTGATCAAGATATCACTTATTTATTATTTTATTGATCTTTCATGCTTTGGATCATCGAATTAGATTTAGATACACAATTTGCGCTAGTAGATAGTTTTATCACAATGTTTCACTTTGATTTACGTTTTTTGCGGTCTTTTACTAGTTTTGATCATATGTTTAGTTCGTTTGTCAATGCAGTCAGATTTGTTTGCATCTAATTTTGTTCAAGCTTTTTTTTATAGGTTTTTCACCTTTTCTTATATGATCATTATATGATCTCAAATGTCTAATTTATTTTTCCAATGATTATAAAAAAATATTTTTATTATGTATTTAATTTACAATTATGATTATAAATGTTAATTATAATTACAAATATTTTTATTTTAATAAATTAATTGCTTCTATAATTAAAAAGAATTATATAATGCATATATTAAAAAGAATTATAATTGTCCGTCCAGCTCAATTGGTAGAGCGCAAGGCTCTTAACCTTGTGGTCATGAGATCGAGTCTCATGGTGGGCAATTCATAATTGGAGGTCTTTCACATAATCTGTTCTCAACCTGACGTTGGGGGCCAGGCTATTACCCTACCTCCCCTTACCCCATTACATATGGGAATAGGGTAAGCTAATTATATATCAAACAAATAATCAAAACTATGTTAAATGATTAAGTAATGGGTGGTGTGTGTTGTGTGTGGGAATTAGAGAGTGGGCCGGCGTTGGTAAATGAACTCTTTTATATTTTTCATATCTAAGATTTAGATAGTTTGATAATCATATAAACGCCGTTTATATTTATAATTAAGTCAAATTAGATTCTTAAATAATATATAACTCTCTTAAGTCTCAACATTATTTATCTAATCCCAAGATGCTAACTCTTAGCTATCAATGCATGAATTAATTATAATAAGCTTAGAACATTTATTCTAGAAAGTTGCAATTTATTTTTGTATACTCCCATCTCAATTGCTTTCCCATGTTCACAGCTGAGAAAAGGTGACTGCAAATGAATATAGTCCTCAATCACTCATATGATTGAATATATATATATATACGATTCGAGATTAATTCATTAAGAACCAATATGTTTAAAAAGTTTCAGGGGGTAATGTGGACCAAAAACAATTTTAAGGACCAAGTTGAAAAGGATAAAAGAAATCCAGGAACTAAATGTAGCTTCTTCTTTTTTCAAATAATATAAAAAGAAAATGGCAAACTCCAGATCACGTGGTCCTTTTGATGTGTCGGTATCGCCAGCTCATCCACTGGTAATCTCACTTGCAAGTCAAAACAGGGTCAAAGGAACACAACGCAAATGCAACACCATCCAGTATTCCCTTTCCCTGCACTCAAAAGGCCAAAACTCTTTTTTTTTAAATTATTATTGTTTTGCATTGTCAAAAGAAAAATATAAATAAATATTTACTTTTTATTAAGAAGTCCAGAACCCTATCCCTTAAATAACACTGCTGTTGCATTGAATACCAGCAATGGAAACAGTTTCAACATCCCATTTCTTCACCAAAACCAATCCATTTTTTTGATTCATCCCTTACACCCCAGCGGCTAAACTCTCGAGATAACGTTCTCGAATAAATTAATTCACGAGATAATGCACTCCTCAGATTAATTGCTCAAATAGGGTGAAATCTACAGTGTTGGTCGTAGGTCGCCATGCCATCCGGGCGACCTACTAGGTCGCCATGTCTTCCCGGCGAGCTATGAGAGAGATTGCATGTGTCATGCACGTTCCAACACGTTGGGCATCCGAAGCCATCCGACCGAGGGCATCCGACCGAGGCCATTCGAGCGAGCTATGCGAGGGCATCCGAGGGCAAGAGGAATCACGCGAGGAGCAGGAGGAGTGCATGGCGACCTACAAGGTCGCCAGGAGTGCATGGCGACCTACAAGGTCGCCAGGAGTGCATGGCGACCTACAAGGTCGCCCGGAGTGCATGGCGACCTATGCTGGGAAGCTGCCACGCCGTAGGTCGCCCGGAAGGCATGGCGACCTACGGCCAATACTGTGCAATTCGCCCTATTTGAGCAATTAATCTTGGGAGTACGTTATATCGTTAAATAAAAAATTCGAGAACATTATCTCGAAAATTTTGCCCACCCTGCATTTGACCTAGATTTAATATTTGTTATATTCATGTTAAATTCAATTGGTTGAATATTTATTAATATTTAGATAAATATTACATTACCAATATCATATTTCATACATAATGTATAAATATCATTTTTAGTTTTTTTTAATAATTGGATATGATTATAAGATAATAATTGTTTAGAATATTTTTAGGCCACTGATAATGTACACACTCTGAAAACATAATTGTTCTAACCCAAAATCTATATAGAGAACTGCATTCTCTTCTACAAATGTGGTCGCCCAATGGATTCATCCTTTTCGGATCTTTATGAGTTGAATAATATTATTTGAATATACTATATGTTATATTTATAGAAAGTAAAGAGAGACGAAGGAGTGGTTCTTGGAATCTTCATAGAGAGTTTTCCAAGTGTATTTAAGAAACAAGAATCATGGGGATTGGTTTCAATAAAAGAGAGTCCCTTGTTTATATATTTATTATGGTAGAGCTTTGGAGGAAAAGAAACCTTCTTAGTAACTTCCCCTATGTCCAGACGAAAATATAAAATAAACAAATAATACTTGGATGATTCTGTTCCTGTGAGTCTTCAAAATTGGTCATCATCATTGAATGCTAATTAACATGTCATGACAAAAAACCATCACATCATGGACATGTCATGCATGAATTCAAAAAAAAAACATCAAACTCCCCTCCCTACATGGGTATAAATACAAACATCTACTTATTAAGTTGTTGTAGCAGTGCAACCAGTGTCCCTGTAGAATTTATTAGGGTTTCTTCTTTCTCTTCCTTCTTTTTTTCCGTGTTGTTTTAAAAAGCTCATGGCATACTTAGAAATGTATAATGATTCCGAGAACAAAAGTCATCATCATCATCACCACTGTGCCCCAATGAGCCCAAGAATCTCTTTTTCTAACGACTTTGTCGACACTCAGCAGAGTATGCAACAGGAGAGGATCTCCAGTGAGGCTCCGGCGTCGTCGGACTTCGAATTCTCGGTGTCGAACTACTCCATGATGACTGCCGATGAGCTTTTCTTTAAGGGCAAGCTTTTGCCATTTAAGGATAACGGTGGGAACCAAATGCAAAGGACTTTGAGAGAAGAGCTTCTTGTTGGGGACGATGATGATAATGTGACGCTAAGGCCTCCAAAGGGTTCCATTTCCACTAGGTGGAAGGGGTTTCTGAGTCTCAAGAGAAACCACATTGGTTCCAGAAAAGCTGACAAGAGTGAAGGGATTTCTAGCAGTAAAAGGTATGGTTTTGTTCAGCAGGAAACCCATGTTACCAAGACTTCACAGGTGATAACAAAGGACCCATTTTTCTCCTTTACGAAGCTAACTATTTGAGGGATGGTTTGATCTAATTTCATTAATGTTACATGTTGCAGGACATTTTGGGCGAAGCAGGGTCAAGTTCAAGTTGCAGGGATGCGGATAGTCACAGTTTTGGAAGGTATAACTTGTAGAAAGGTGGGGCATTTTTTAGAAAGAAAATTGGATGATTTAAACCTTTTTCTTTTCTTCTTGATTTGAGGTGTAGTTACAAGTGGGTTTTTGTAGTGCATTTTATCTCCAAGGAGATGGGTATCTGGCTGTTTGTTTGTACAAAATGTTTGCAGTTCAAGAACTTTTTTCTAATGTTGTTGAGCAATGGATGTTAGAAACTCTTTGGTCGTTTAATTTGTTTATATTTGATTCTAGTGTACTTTTCATTGATGCTTGAGAGAGAGAGAGAGAGAAGCAGTATCTGGGCACATGTTAGTAAGTTTTTACATAGGGAGGTGGGACTGGCAATGAATGTGACAGCTAATGCAACACTGTTTACCATTTGTTTAAGGATATGTTAGCTTTTAGGCCATACTAATCTTAATTTAGGGTTCAAAAGCACTGTAAAAGTTTAGTTTGTGCCAACTATTTGAGGATCTAAGCTACTTTCTAAGCTTTCATCAAACTAGCAAGGAAGTGATTAACGCTGTTACATATTTAAAAATATTTTTTAAGGTACGTATATATGTATAAATAATAGTAATATTTTGTATGAGATAAATATAAATAAAAAAAACTTATGATATATATGATTAGTAAAATAAATAATTAATATAAAAAATGAATTTCAAGGTATAGACAACAAAATACATGAACTGATAATAATAAGTAAACCATAGAAATTTCATATTATTACATACATTTAATGATCTGCATGGATCCTTAATGCGTATATTTAATAAACACCAAGATTGCTTTTCCTGCACGCAGAGCCTTTTACTCGTACACCAAGATTTCTTATATTAAGTTTGAACGGATAAGATTTTGTTTATGTTTTTCTATTAATTTTTTATGTATTTATGTTTGGTCTATATTTGTGTTTGTTTAAATTTTTAATATTATTTCACATTTGCTTATTTATTTTATAAGATGTTCGCGTTCAATTCATTTAACATTCGAGATATGTTTGTTTAACGTTGATATAATGTTTGACAAGTAACACTCTTTTTATTTTTACTTGCAAGTAAGAAAATGGTAAAATTGTTCCATTAGTCCTTAAGCTCCTTAAACGTTTTAGTTTGAACTTCAAACTTCACCATATGTTTAATTTAGTTCCAATTTTCACCAATATTTAATAAAAAAATAAAAATGAGAATCAGATAAAGGAACTTGTTCGTGAACAAAAACAAATCAAACACACATATGTTCATGTTTATTCATTTATTAAATGAACATAAAAATTTGGTTCATACTCGTTTATTTAATTTAATAAATGAACATAAAAAAAGTGTTGTGCGAACGATTCATCGAATGCTCTGTTCATTTACACCCCTAGTAAAAATATAAGTAGTCTTTGATTAATTTCATGGTACTTTTTATTTATTTAGTCTTTCTTTCTTCCTATATGTAGGGTGAAGGTGAAAATCTATTTTAGGAGTCAATTAAATTTTACATTTTAAGATTTAGAATATAATTTTGTTATTGTATTAACTAATAATTTCATAAGTTTTAAAAGGATTAAGTGACAATTTACTTATTTTTGGGCCTCTAACTAAAAAAAGAACTTCAGATTTTGGAATTCACGAAATTGATCAAGATCACAAGAAATTAATAATTTACATATTTCATCTTATTCCCTCCAGGGATTGCTCAACATGGTTCTCATTTTAATAACAACTCTTAATTAAAAACATGCAAATTAAATTAATCAGAAAAAATAGATCTTGAGAGTAAAATAAAAAGATACATCTTTGGTATATATAAAATATATTTTTTATGGTTAATTACATTAGGTCTCTATAATTATATTTTAAATTAACTTTTTATTTTTTATTTTTGATAAATTTTGAATTTAATCTTAATTCTATGTAGAGGGGAGGAGAATGGGGGACTCTAGGGGAAGGAAGAGGAGTATTGCTAGTTGATCTAGAATTCATAATCAAAGAAAATACGAGAAAACGAAAATGAACAACTTGACCAATATGACAAATGTGCTTGTTCAATTAACCCTTAAATTCTAAAACCTACTAATTGAATACTCAAATACTAATATTGTATCAATTTTAATTGATCATGTTATTAGGTCTATATAATAAGGTTTAAAATTTAATTGAAAATAAATGTTCTAATATTATTAGGTGGACATTATAAAGTTTAGAATTTAATTGAAAACAAATTTTCTCATATTATATTAGGTGTATATAATAAAGTTCGAATTGACTAAGTATATTGAGCCGGTTAGTTTAGCTGCTAATCTTTATTCTCTCGTATTTTCTTAGGTCATTGGTTTTAGATACACTAGGAACACTTCATTTCTTTCCTCTAAAGTTTTTCCTTCTCCTTCTTTTAGGTAAGATTAGAATTAGATTTAAAATTTGTAAAATAAATAATTTTAAAATTCAAATTTTAATTGAACATACTTTTCTCATATTATTTGGAGCATATAAAGTTAGGATTGAGAAACAAATCGAGGAAAAACAGAAATACTGATTCAAACCAAAGCATTCGGTTCAGGTTTAGAGTCATTAAATTTGGTTTGGGGTTGATATTATCACTTAAACCACACAATTCAGCTCGGTTTTTTTATTCCACATGGAACTCAAATCGAACATTCGAACTGAATGAAGAGAAAAAAAATCAGAACTAATGGTCCTAATGGGTCATGATCTTATATGGGCCCTTTCAATATAAGTTTTACTTTTTGGAGTTTAATATTATAGTACCGGTAAGATTAGGCATCACCCAAATTTATTTATAAAATCATCACATCTAACTAAATTTAGGGTATGTATTGTGCATGTTGTAAAATAAACAACCTTAATGTAACCTTATGCTTCTAAACGTTTGAATGAAAAATGATATTGTCCATGGATTTATTTTATGTCTAATATGTAAATAGTTAAAAAATTTCAATTGACATTTTTCCGCTCTTTTAAGTTATGAGTTCAATATTCATTGGGAGAAAAATTCTCCATCTTCTCCCTCAAGGTAGAAATTATTCAAAAAAAATTATGTTTGATATGATTTTTAAATTAAAAAAAAAAGTATATCACTCATCGACTAAAGGAAAGCAAGGTTAACCGACATGGTACTAACGTGATTAAGGAAGACAATTTTGTTTGGATTTAACGAGTTTCGAACCGACTCGACATAGACGGGATGACTATTTATTTTGAAAATTAGAGATTAGATTAGGTAAAATCAAGTTGAGGTTTTTTTAGGGTGCGGTCTGATCGTGTCAAGCTTAAGGTGAAAAAAATCGATCAATCAAACTTAATATTATAATTATTTTTTATATATTCGGGGATAATTATAATAATATATTTTTTCAATTAAATTTATTTTATCTTGTAAAAATTATTATATATAAAGGACGACTCGAGTGAAAGTTTTAACATGAAAAATTGGACAAAGTTTCATATTAGATGGGGCCCTCTTAAACCCAAGTCGAGTGTGATATGGGTGGAGGACTTCAATTTTTGAGTTTAGGTTCGGGTGAGGCAAAAAATATGACATGACCCAACTCGTTGCCATCCAATGTTGTATGATTAGAGAATGTTGTTTAATTTTGTATCATATTATTATACATAATTATAAAAATTAAGTTTGAACAAAAATTTGAATAACTCGACTCAAAAATATTTCAAATAAAGTTTGAATCATAAAATATGACTCATCAACTCATTTAACTCAAATTTTTTACTCAACACTATCGAATACTCACTCTAGTCACGAGTTTAATTCTCGAGACTTTAAAAAATTAGTAAACGGTACACTAACAGAAATATTAAAAAGAAATTGTACCAATAGTTTGATGATTGAGATGGAGTGTTTTATAGTTTAAGAATTGATTTAGAATGAGATCATAGTTTGGAGTTTGATATAACAGATTTAAGGATTAATTTATAATAGATTAGGGGATTCATTTGTAATTAACTCAATTCTATATCTAAAACTACTTTTATATTTTTAGAATTTTATTTTCTGTAGTATACTTATTGTTCCTAGAAAGGTAAAAGTTTCACCCACCGATGAACTCCAATAGGAAACGGGAATGAATTGTGGTCGTACATTGGGGATTTGGGATAAGATTTGCATCTACTATCAAGATTCCAATACAAAACAAGTGTCCCTCACTTATTTAGCATGGCGCGTGTACAGTTCCCCTCTCCTCTGCTCTACATCTGGCACCATCGACTCTTTTCCTTATCTTCATTCATCTTTTCTCCACGATCATCTTGATTAACAATTTTATGATAATTTCATAAATATCCAAAGAAAAATTACATGCAAATAAAAATAAAAGATTTTTATGTTAGTGTTAGTAAATTTTATTAAACTAACGCAAAAGGAAGAAAACTAAAAACTAAAGAATTACAGCTACAACTGACGAAAGCAGTGGCGCCTTACCAGAGAAAGAAGGAAGAGAGGAACAAGCAGAAATTAGCAGAAGAAACAGACACGGATTTTTGGAGATTTCCCCCCATTTTTTACTTTTCGAAAGAAGCTTCGTTTTCTTCTTTTCTTTTTTCTTCTTCGTCATTCTATACATAGAAGAAAACCCTAGAAATGCGAACATGAAGCTAAAATTTTTAAATTAGTAATAGTACCTAATACAAATCGCCTGGCCCAAATAAATTTTCGTTTGCTTGACGTTTTATTCATGGCTTTAGTCGAACCCACTCGTAGCGCCCTTCCAACGGTTCATCTTTGACAATATCGTAGTTATACCTAAAAACAGTAAACAAAAAATTTCCATTCAGTTTCAAAAATTGCCGCTTGGTTGCTAAGAAAATTTAACAGCAGAAAAGAAAATCTAGATCTTTTTAAAAGTGAATTGCGTGAACGTACTTTTCTGCAAATTGTTTTTGAAGTTTTTTCTCGGCAGGAGCAAAGAATTCTTCGAGTTCAGCTTCTGTTGGCATTTTCTCTACCGTTGATCTACGGCGAAAGTTCGTCTCTGATGACCTCGACGTTGAATCCAGGTCTTCTGGTTCCGCTCGAAGATCACTAAACGCCGTTGTTTCTCTCATACTAGAATTCACAAAAGAGCAACAGATTTTGAGCTGAGGAGTATACAAATAAAAGTAGAATTTAAAAAGGAAAAAGAACAAATTTTAAATGGTAGGCTGTTTTTGAAATTCGAATTCAAGATACATGAAACAGTAAGTTACAATAACTTAAATATTAAAAAAATAAAATTAATGTTTATACATATAATTATTGTTGTAACTGCTA